TTAATATTTATTTATAGCAACAGACAGACGTGCGTTTTTTGTAAATCCTTTGTATATGTTTCAATCGCTTGTGCAGAAGTGTTTTCGATACGTATCTACTTTAATTTATATGTCAGTATGTATTGAATTATACGGGTATATAAGAGTATAACAATGGTACATATTCGTTCATACATATATATTCCGAACAGTATGTCCACGCATACTTTTGGTTGGCTTGGCATAAATTGCTGTCTGATATTCAATGATGTAGCCCAAATGTATCTTTGCCACAAGCGCAGAACGAGAATGTCGGGTAAATAAACCTAATGAAATAGTATAGCGGAGTCGTAAAACAATTGAGCAATTTGTGGCAATGAAATCGATTTTGTGAAATAATAAAATACTTAGTTTGGTTAAGGAAAATACTTATTCCTTTAAGCAATCTGCTTTAAGAGATATAAAATACATATAACAAGTGTGGAGTGTAAAATAAGCCAAAAAAAAGTGAAATCCAACAGATTTTTCCAGGCATATTTTGATTGTTGAACTCTTATGTTCTGAAAGGAATTGCAAGAAATTGATGGCTCTAAGGACTTGTATTAAAGTGCTCTTCTCTAAACAATGTGCACTGGATTTTTGTATTAATTTTCAACAATATTTACAACGAAAAATGTATTTAATATCAACACTCAGACAACTTCACAAAACATTTTGACTTGACTTTCTAATTGATTTGCAAGCTCATATTTTGTAGAATTTTACTTGATGTAAGTATCAATTTCTGACTGGTGTTTTCTTAAGTACCTGAAATTTTTCCGAAAATTTGATATTTAACAGGACTTCTACTTAACACTTACATAAGCTTCTAATCTTCTTATATTTTTTTTTTGATAGTTTTGGTACGTGCACATAAGCTTAGAACCTAAGAACATTAAATCCTCTTCAATTTAGATTGTTTATGAGTTGATATCTTAAGTGATTGTAGATACAAAATGTTTTTAAAATTGTAAAATATTTCCGTATGGTTGTGAAAAAAAAACATTCTGTTGTTATTGAATAAATCAGTTTATAGAAAAACTATAAACGATTAAATTTAATCCCATATTGAAGCACTTAAATGAAAGTACGAGTAAAGAAGTGGTAGCCATACGAGTAAATTATCTTAAATACAGCATCTTACGCACATTTCATTGTGGCATATAATACCTACACTTAATATACAGTTCTGATAAATGGCAAATATATATCAATCGTAGCCTTAAGTTACATATTCAGATACTATGAATTTACTTTAAGACGATTATATACATCAGATAGCAATTAAGAGGATTGTGTGAATCTAAGTTGCTTACGGCTTAGCTGGAGTATTTGATACTTTTTTTGGTAAGCATTCAGCGTACATAAAACAAGAAAAAATTATTCAACAGAAATTGATTTTTATGTATATAACCTCCAGACAAGCTATTATACATTGTGACCGAAAAGTTTTCGGAGGTTCTCATTTAAAATTCGCGCGCTGTATATTTTTCGATATTTTAAGTTTATGTAGTTTGGCAGCACTGTCCTTAATTACTATGCCAAAAATGAGCGCGATCTGTCAGACAGTTCGTTTACGGCAGCTGTTGAAACCAGTTCACCTCAGTAGTGCGTTGCGAAAAAAACAATGGAAAAAAATATTGAACAAAGAGTTTGCATCAAATTTTGTTTTTCGAACGAAATTTCGTGTGCAGAATCGTTGCGAATGCTACAAAAGGCTTATGGGGAATCAGTTTTATCGAAAACTCAAGTTTATGAGTGGTACAAAGCCTTTCAGGACTGTCGTACGACCGTCGAAGACATGCCGCGTTCTGGACGACCTTCGACCTCTACCACCGACGAAAACATTGAAAAGGCAAAGGAAATCGTGTTCAAAAATCCTCATGTGAGTGTTAGAGAGATAGCACGAGAGCTAGGCATCGGTCGTGAGATGGCTCGTTTGATTTTGGTGGACAATTTGTGTATGCGACGTGTCAACGCCCGGCTTGTTCCGATTCACCTCAATTTGTTCAACATTATCAACGATTTTAAGGCCAAACATTCAATAAATACCATCGAACAGCCACCGTATTCACCTGATCTTGCACCGTGTGACTTTTTCCTGTTTCCCAACCTCAAATTACCACTCAGAGGAACGCGTTTTGAATCCATAGAAGACGTAAAACAGAATTCGCAGAGGGAACTCAAAGCCATACCGGAAAGCGCCTATAAAAAAATGTTTTGATGATTGGAAGAAACGTTGGCATTTGTGTATCGCTTCTAATGGAGCATATTTTGAAGGAGATAAAATAAATATTGATGAAGATTAAGAATTTTGCGTTTTATTTAAAATTTCCGGAAGCTTTTCGGTCACAATGTATTCAAATAAAATATAGTTCAGTGTAACTAATTATCAAATATGAAAGCAACTTATTTAGTATTTAGATAATGTCAATTGGAATTTAAAGCAATTAGTTCACACAGGATTAGAATAATATAGAATAATATTAATTTGTTCTCCAAAAAAATATATCCTAATATAATTGCTTGGATTATAATTTATAGTTTATATAAAAACTCAATTAAAACTTTTTTAATATTGTTTATAAACTTTGAAACCACTGATGATGGATATTTTTTGTGATATCTGATATAGCTGTAACATTTTATTAATATATTTGTTTCAAATAGCACAGAAACGATTTACAATTTTATTACTTTAGGTTAGGCTTAGGCGTGAGTCTTCGAGTGACTCCATGTAGACCTCTTGATCCATTACGTTACCACATGGCTCTTATTATTTCGATGTTCATCATCATAATAATGAGTTGTTCAGGAGGTTATGGGAGATGAATTCCTGATGCACGATTTACTTTCTTCACGATTTTAGATATCAGTTTCGGATAATGCTTTGAGGTCCTCAAAAGACACGTTTTCAAGAAAATGCAACTCCACTTCTTGTCAATAGCTGATATCAATGATATCAATACATATTTATAAAAGCTGTTTAATTTGAGTTAAATAAAGTTTTTTTTTAATAGTATTCTTCTACTCTGCACCTTCTATTAATATTGTATCTACCATATTTCTTTTCCTATATTTGAAAGTGTTTCCTCATTTCCTTTGGTTATGAAATCTATTTAAAATTAATATAGATTGCCATGAATGTCAAAAAAATAAAATTTTTTTAATTAAATTATTTTCATTTGGAAAAAATTGTTAACTTCTACTTACATATAACAATTCATTCGCACGACATAGTCATAATTATATCTCTCCTACCATAAAAGTTGCATTGATCAAAGTAAGTAATTTTTTCTTAAGTAAAAAAAAACAAAAAGTCTATATTTTTCTAAACTTCAACAAAAAAGAAAATCGTAATTGATAGCGCTGAAGGTATATGTCTGGCAGTACTAATACTTTTGCATGCTGAGTACCTAACATTATAGAGATATAATGTGTTCTTCCTGGAGAAAAAGTCTCTAACATACCAGTACAAAATAAACAACTGATTAACCTAACAATATCTTTTGGTTCAAGATTCTGGACCACATCCAGCCTAATAAAAGTCAGATAAGCAAGCATATAACGCAAGCAGAAAGCATATACGAATATTTCTGTCAAAATTTTCGTAATCTGCTAGTGTTAATTATTTTTAATTACAATTTTGAAAGGTAGTAGTATATAGAAGTATGTCTCGATAGGAAATCGCTGATTAGGATCAGAGCTATTCACATTGTATTAATGAAGTCATATTGTATTATGTTAAGCCTTTGGCATGAACCCATTCTCCTATTATAAGCAGAATGGTACAGTTGCCTGCGTTTTTCAGACAAGTATTAATTGTGCATCCTATATAATCAACTTAAATACAATTGATCGAATATGAAAGCGATTTTATGACTCTTTAATCTTATCTTACCTTATCAATCTTATTGAGCCCTTGCATATAACATAATCCGTGACATTCGTATTGTTTTATTGAGAATCTCAATTGTACTTTAATTAGTGGATAAAAATGTGATTAATATATATTAACGCAAAATTTATTTAATTTTATTGAAGAAAGATTTTTAAGTCTGAAGCTTACTGAAAAGTTTTAGACATTTTTCCTTTCTTATACCGACAAATGAAGCTTTTTTTATTTTGGTTATCAAATCTTTTCAAAATTAACTTGGGTTGCGATGAATGTCAAAATAAAACTTTTTTAATTATATTAAGTAAAAAAAAAATAAAAATTCTATAACCTCTATTTACATTTACTAACTCGTTCCCAGACATCACTTATATAAAAAGAAGCTGCTTGAACATAGTAAGTCAATTCTGGAATTGAACTACATTAATACATACCTAGATATAATATATTATTATCTTATAATACAAAAAAAAAACTTAAGACTTTTCTAAGCTCCATTTATGATGTAAATCGTAATTACTAGAGTAAGAGTTATTGTGTCGGTGATATCTGAGTTTAAGTCTCTTTGCCTATTGACTTAATGAAAAATGGGTCAAGTAGGTATACATACTAAGAAAATTTAGCTCTATTGTATTTCTAAGGAAAGTGTCCTAAACTAACCTGAACAAATTAAAAAGATTAATAAATATACCAATATGCATTGGTCGAAGCGTGAAGACCTCATTCAGTTCAATGAGAACCAGGTAAGGTTTTGGCTTGGATATGAGAGTGTGATCTGATATGATAATAAGCAGACTTTTCACTTCGCATTTTTGATAAGCGGTAGACAGCAGGAGAATGTCTAAGAAGTTTAAATTGATTTGTAAAAGATATCAAATCATAAGGTTATTTATTAATTAGCATAATTTTTGATCATATGTAGTCCCAATTAGGGATGTTGTGAAATAAACAGTTTGGTATATCTTTTAAATTTCAGTGAAGTATGACTTTAAATATAATATTATTAATCATAGATATCATAGTTTTAATATCAAATATTTACTTCATTAAATAAAATTTTTTTTTTATCTGAAACAATTACAGAAGTGTTTGTTGCAGGATATAATCATTACCGCTGTCACTCAAATCTGATACCAATAATATTAATACTTTTGTGTATTACTCTATACTTTTGTAAATATATAAATTTGTTTTTAATATTTATCAATTTTAAAATCATATAATATATTTTATAGGTTTGTACTGAAGATAACGTCACTAACCATCCCTCGTCTCATTTTCGTTGTAATAATCCAAGTAACTATTGGTTGCTCAGTTTACACAGACTTCTATTACATATTCGGTAAGTTACATTATTTCCAAAACATATCTGTATTCTGCGCAAATATCAAAGGCAGTACCATGCTTCTGAATATGATATATAAAACTTAGTGATGTTAACACTTTCCTTGAATATCTTTATAATAATTTTAAAAGATGTACCGAGTTATTCATTTATAATTACATATAACAATAATATACTATTTTAATGGAATCATTACTTGTGCATACTATTTTATCAGATAGAGTCTGTCTAAGTTATTCTCTGCAATATTGTTTTATTAGTTAAAGATCTCAATCTAGAATGTATTTGCTGGAATATTCACTTAGTTCATCTAAGTTCGTCTGACGGAAAAGTTTTAAGGATGTCAGTTAAAGTTCTTAGATTTGCTACTAAGTCCATGAAATGCTTTTCTTTCATTAATAAATGAAAAGGTAAAAATCACACTTTGCCCAGTCAAGTAAATGTCGTATGTGATTGATCTTATTAATGATTTAATGATGCTGCGTGTAATTTCTAATAAATTGCCTATTATTGCCTACTATATTTTTAAAATGTTATGTTAATAGTCCTTACATCTCATTTACTATTAATATATATAATATTAAATAATTAAATAATAAATTTTAAATATTCCAGATTCAACACACCATGTTTGCCAACGGAGTGTGAGTTATTTAATTTATCTACTACTATACTTAATTTATATACATATACATTAAATATTAAAATGTTTTTCTGGTATTTAATACTTTTCTATTCGTATATAAAACTGTTAAATTTTTTTTTAGTACCACTTCTGTGGAACCAGAAATTAATCATCATTTGGAAAAAGTGAGTAAAAATTTAAATTTAGAATAATAAATAAAATGTTTTATTCTTATTTTCTTTAATAAAGTAATGTTATGAAATAATAATTTTTATAAAAATTTATTTATTATTACAAAATATTTTTTATTACAAAATTTTATTTATATTCTTTTTACAAATTGTTTATAATGAACTGTAGTTAATAAGAGAAAGCGCTATAGTCGAAGAAACAAATTACCACCAATGTCCGTATAACGCATATCACAAGATCTCTGAAGGGAAATTTCTGGTTCATTTACCAAAATGTGAAAAGTTATATAAATCTGATAATAAAAAAATCTGTCCTTATAATATAACTCATATAATAGATGAGCATGAATTAGAGGTTAGTTAAAAATTTTAGTTTACTTGCATAAAAAATTAAAAGAAATATTTTAAGGCTCATTTGATTACCTGTGAGACCCGTCCTATCTACGATCGTTATATGAGATCTCAAAAATTAAATCAAAACAACAATGTACCAAAATTTGAACCTCTTACTTCAAAAACGTCCTGGGATGATGAGCCCCCGGTTTTGACGTACAATCCTCAACAATATTGTTTGGCCAACCCAGTTTGTCGTAGCTTAAAAGGTGCGTCTAGGCTTCGCAGGCTAGCATTTCGAAAATTCGAACGCAAGCGTATAGCGGCCATAAAAGCTCGTATTAGTTCTGAAATTTAGGATTATTTTTTTTTTATCGTTTGGTTAAATTTTACAATGTTAATTTAGATTTTAGATTTTATTTTTACTCTAATACTTTTCTATATTTTTGTACACATATTTTTATTTTCTAATAATTAGGATTTTATTTGTTTAACGATTACATTGTTTTGTTAAGAAAAATAGATATGTATTAGAAGATAATCTAGATTCATTGATTTAACTAAACGAAAAAAGTCTTCCATTAGTTAGTAGACATTTCATCAAAACACCAAAGAAAAAAGTTGAAATTTTGCGTCATTAAGACCTTACCTTGAGTCTTCATTAATATGTATAACTGTATTTTGACAGTAAAAATCCTATCCATAAGAAACAAAATGATCCCGATAGAACCAAGATTACTATCAGAATTAAAAAACTGTGACCAAAAACTTCAAATGAAATCCATTTTTCATACATTTTGGATAGTCTATAGAATGGATTTTCAATAGATCGTTTAAAAAAAAGTTTCCATAAACTATTTTCGGGATTAATACACAAAAGTTGTTTATTTCATTGATCATTGGTTCTATTACGAGTTACATTTTTCCTTTCGTTCGAAGTTTTCATAATCACTAATTGATGGTAGCAAAGCATATTGTTGAGGATTGTCGATTTCACTGGAGCTCAAAAATACCGACGTGATTCGTATGTGACCAAATATTGAAGTAAGCAAATTTAGACATTCATTTCATTTGTTACGGGTTAGTTTTTTGGAGTCATTACGATCATGGTAACAATCTTAGCAGTTGTAAGATTGTGGTATGTGGAGTACAGAAATGTGGTCGGTTTGTCCTAGTGACTTGCTGACAGTGCAGCATCATACACCTGCATCTTCTCTCCTGCAGTATGAGTATCAGCAAGTCCAAATAATAGCTGATTGGACTTTCAAATGATAAAGGTAATCTTAGAAATATTAGAAACATACTAGTAACAAAATAAATTGGTAAACTTTACTTTCATTTTATATAATATGAAACCTATCTTCTATTTAAGTCTAAACACTAACGACGATTGATGACACCAAACTGTCGTATAATTCAACATTCTAATACCTGGGAAAGGTTAAGATATTTAACGCTGTTAATGTTATGTGGATCCTCACCAACGAATTTATATCAAATGACATATGGCATTGACATTGATGTGCTAGGTTTTTCCACGCGATAATATCATAGACTGAAAAATGCTAGCAAGAAGCTGGTGCTGCTGCAGCGACAACGAATAACTTACATGAATTCGTCTTAAACTTCTATTGAAGTCCTTCTCAACTCCTCCAACTACTAAATTGCAGCTGGTGTAAACTGGATTCCAATTCTTTGCTGCGGTTATCACATTGCGATGGGAATTGGTTTCAAATGTGAACTATGTGTGCTTGAGTTATCGCAGATGACAAATACTGCTCATATTTCATGATTGTTCCGTGTCATTTGCTGCGGTTATCACAGCACCTGATTAATCAGGTCTTTTCACCTGATTAAGGTTGTTATTATAGAGGTATTATCACCGATAAATACTTTTGAACTATGGTATGTTGCAATATATTGCAGCGTGATTGTTTTGGCAATCTAATGATTTAAGAGATCGATTCAGAGCGAATTCTCCTATGCTGTACAAAATAACGTATATCGACGATGCTAGATAGCGATGTTGTCGACAAACTCCCAAATCAATAAGTATCTCGTCACCAAACCACTGAAATTTTTATTTTCTTTTGCAAAAATCAAACGATAATGGCTGATTTTTTTCGGTGGTTAGCTTCATTAGGAATCAAGCATGATCTTACCACTTCTTAACTGTGAAAAGTGGAATAAACCTAAGGACTGACTAATAACTGTCAATGTACATTACAATACGGACTGCGCAAGCTTTTCCATGATAGACAAATCAGTTACCGTAATACATTTTTTAATTCTCCATCAAAGATTTTAAAGTAATTCAGTATACGAATAAACGAATCCAGCATATGATGGACTTCTGGTGAATATTTGTTATAAGATATCGACCTTTTTTCAATGGCTTCAAGTCTTGAATAATAAATCTCAACTATACTATTAGTTTTCGAAGCAGTGTTTACTATTAAATAAGAGAGCGTATTCAAGCCTGGTAAATCTGAAAACTCAATATGTTGATAAATACATCTGTTTGTCGGAGAATATTGTTCCCGAGACATTATTAATATCAGTAATTATGAAATCATAGACAAGTGGTAAAGAGGCGAAGGGCAAAGAAAGAGCAGTTATACAATATGGAATATAGGTAATTGTGGACAATTACTTTGTAATTATTAAATAAACAATTATATTTTTAGATACATTTTAATAATTATTCTGGGATAATAGCAACTATCTTTGTGGATATCCGATTTCATTTCACAGCCATTCATAAGTACACACTGAAAACCGGAAAACGAAGTTTTTCTACGTTTTTTTTCAAATGCAGAATCAATTGTGATTGATTTCCTCCGTTTTCTTGTGTATTAGTTTATATATATATATATATATATATATATCATTCATGAGTTTGCGCTATGTTTTGTTATGTCTGGATTATGGTTTTTTATTGATTTGTTTTTGTTTACTTGTTAGTTTTTAACAAATTAAAACATATTTTAATACTGAAGTCCGTTCTATTTATTTCTATCATACTTTATTTTAAAATGAATACTTTGGAAGTATGTATCCAGTTTAATTTTTTTATGCAGCATTTCGTTTTGCAGGTATTTCCATTAGTATCAATATTGAAAAAAATATTTGTCAAAAATTGAAACCTTTTTTGATTCTTATGAAATATACATCCTCATACACCATGTAGATTTAGAAGTTTAATTAACCTTTAATTTAAAATATCCATATCTATAAATCTTCATATGCAAGTGTTCATTATCGTCATCAGTGACTTATGTTTTCATACTTTCTTTTAAGAATTGGAATAAAGTAGACTTCTCATTATTAACGATTTTACATTAAAGTATCAGATGACAAATTTAAGCACTCTTGACTATAGCAAGTACCACCAATTGGTTAACTTAATATCCCAAACGCAAGTTATTCTTTGATTTGATACTGCGTTCCAATGGGTATTATCATCCTTGAGTTCAGAATTTTTTGTTAACTCAACGCTTAAGAGTAAAGAATTCACTTAGGAATACTAAAAACATACGTTACAATCTTAATTTTGTAGTCAGAAACTAAAACGAACAAAACATTTACAAGTTTTTATGTAAAATATGCACATGGGAATTATTTTTAAACGTTCAGACATTTTTAAGTGTCCATTTTAAAAATTTAAATTTTTAAATAAGTAAAAAAAATAAATTTGATAAGAATATTCAAACTGTTTACAAAAGAGCTGCAGCCTGTTGCCGGGCATAACAGGGTATACCCGGAGCACAGAAGGTTTATTAATGTATCAGTCAGTTTGAGTTTATACAACACAAAAATTTTAAAAAAAGGATATACATTGTGTTAAAGCTAACATAGTTGATTAGTATAAATACTATTAAGAATTGTGAAATCTATCCTACAATTAGCATTAATAGAACATTTCATGTTTTCATTGAAAATATTAAATAAGCATCGTTCTAGCTAAGTTAATTTTTTAATAGCCAAAAAAGCCTTTCAGATTTTATTTAATAACTTACTTGAGCAGAAATAAGATTTCATTATAAATCCATTATTAAAACATTGTTCATACGCCAGATCAAGAGAACCACCAAAACAGGTATAAGGACGAAAGCAGATGGTTTGAAAACAACTGTGTATAACACTTCCATTTAGATAAAAATAAAACAATCTGAGAATTTTTGAAGTTTTCAAACAGACAGAGATGTTTTCTACTTTTTAGAATTTAATGATATATTTTATTTTGCTAACAGATTATATATAGAAGCATTTCAGTACCCTAAGATGTTAAGCTTTTGGAGCGCTTGTCAGCTAGCTTTGAGAATACCATATATATAAATGTGCACAGCAATCGTCTTCAGCTGCTTCAACTTTGTGCAAATCTTCTACAGTCGCATACGTTAAGTGCACTACAGCAATTGTGTCCATTTAAGATATTCTTCCATGTCTCTTTCTTCTAATTATGTCTCTTATACGTTATTAGGTGAGGCATTGTTTTTTAGATTCATGAGATGACTATACCGCTATTGCCAGTGAATATGTCAATAAAGTCAATCAATATGTCAATCATTATCATACATATTATTCGGAAGCAATATTCGTCTCAATCTGCTTTGAACACGAAGTGGAATCTCATCATTCTCTGATAACACTCATCAGTTAGTTGTTCAGAACTAGTAAAGAATAACAGATCTTAAGAATTTTTCTTTCGAATATTCCTAGCAGTACCTTATTATGCTACGATAGTGGCCGTGATTGTCTCATACAGCAGCATATGTAGATTGAGTGGCCCCTGCAGCGTATCTTCGCTGGCGTACAAAGAGTTCAACATCTTAATTGCCTACCGATCCCGTAGTATCAGTTATTCACAATGAGAATTCTTCAACTGATTTTTTTGTTGGCATTAGTTTTAAGTCAACAGAGAGTTCTACATATTAACTATCTACCGAATTTATAGTATCGCATATTAGCTAATGAAATTCTACATTCGATGCCTTGAGTGATATGGTTTATGTTATTTGTGCAGACCCAGACCACGTTAAATGAAATTCTTGTGAGTTTCAAATATATAGCCACAAGGCAGTACTCGGTCATCTAAGTGACATATGTTTCTTCCTTCCGTTTTGTTATTCTTAGTAGTATAAAGACAAATATGCAAGAGTCGAAAACTTTAAGCTTATAAAAATTTGATGGAATTTTTAAGGTTGATATTTTATATACTTTAAAGAATTGCAACTATTAACTTATTTTTACCCTGTATATTTTAAACTCAAGAGTGTAGAAAAGTTGAAATTAAAAAGTTGAAGGCATCGAGAAGGCCGTTGACAGTTTTGTAGTTTTATTTTGCTTTTCGTCAGACAATCGCCCGCTATCTTATGCATCAGAATAAACTACGTCATCTTTTGTTGCTACTGTTTTTACAGTCCCTCGATGACGTACTTTGTTTGTTATTAAAAATTATTTTACAATTTTGCCTCAAATATTCCATGTTCCCTTTTGATTTTCCAATGATTGCAATTGATGATTGAAAGCTAACAAAGTCAAAGTTATGAAGACCCTAAGGAAAAAATATCGAATAATTTATGATTGCATAAACAAGAGTATTTTTAAAAATGTGTTCCATATCGAAAGATAATAAAAGTAACTTATGTAAACAATTGTACCAGACACATTTGCATGATCACAAACCATTGTGAAATTTATATAAAAATTGCTGTTAAACTTAAGCCAATTTATGTGCATTGCAGCTATTTTTGCTGATGCTGACCCATTTCAGGGACACTTGTGAAGTGTCAAGTTAAAAATCTATAAAATAAATTACTGAAGTCTTGCAGAATATATAATATAAGCTATAAAAATTGTTTGTTGTCAGCAAGTTTTTACAAATAAATCAGCACTACAGTGGAGATACGATTCTGGACATACAGTGCGTATGAGTAATTAAAAGGCAGAAACAAGGTTTGGTGTTTTGTTGAGTGTTTCTTGGGTAAGGAACGTTTAAAATTTACTTTTTGCATAAAACCAAAACTAAATTAAGAAGAAAGTCCGTTGTGTTTCAGAATATTGTGTTTCAAGTAAGAGACCTTTATTCCAGCACTTTAGTTCGTATTTTCCTTTTAAATGTTAAGTTTATCAGTCACCAAAGTCAGTAACTCTTTTGTGTCTAAGATAAGTCTTGCAAGCAATTGAGTTAAAAAAGAATGTTGAGGATTGAGAAATATTTTCAACTTTCTGGTTGAGCTTTAAAGAATTTTGTTCGAAACTTCTAGAATTTGTGTTTAAGATACTTTTGTTGTAATAAATTTATTACTGCATCCAAACTATTAAAACTTTGAGTATAAAATTGTAAAATTGTTTAGTGCTTTCATAATTACACATGTAACAAGGAACTATACTAAAAGCTGCTCCCAACAAACGGCTGTGTGAGGGACTATGCTGTTCCAGATATGCTGGAACAGATATCCTTTTATCTGAATTTAACTTTTTAATAATTTAAATTTATTACTTCGAAATGCGTACTCTCTGGTCCGCAATTCTTGCATGGGTGATGGGTGAGTAGTTGTATTATTCAGAGTTGAAGTTTTTATTTGTTATTTTTAAATAAATTTATGCAAATTTATGCAGCTTTTATTTTTGGTGTTGTTTTGTTAATTGAAATACAAAATCAACACAAGTTTTTAGGAATTCACAATTTATACTTTATACTTTCCACTTTAGAGGAGTGAAAAAAAGGAATCGTGGTAGTTTGAGCAATTTTAGTTTGTTAAAAATACACAATTCTTATTTTATTCTCGTCCTGGACTCTGTTACTTTTTATTTTTCGCATTTTAATTAAATTCTTCACTGAATTTTATTTAAATTCTATGCATATTTAAGTAACCTCAATTAAGAATATCGCTCGAATTCGCGTACTGGGCGTAGGAATGGCATTCAAATAATGGCATTTGGCATTTTTTTACAGATACTTTTGCGTGAGCTTTGGAATTCGTTGTTATCTTTTTATTGATTGTTTATGTTTCTTGTTTTATGGCTTTTTGCTGATTTAAAGTTTTTTATTATTTGTTTAAATATTTACGTACCATTGAAATTTTTTAGATATTTTTCCATTTTTTAACTCCTTTAATAAAGCATATCTTTGCACCTGCAAAAACAATAAATTGCGCTTTTCTCTCGAACTCAATAACATCAAAGCTATGATAATAAAAATAGCTTTGAAAGTATTTGAAAAATCCATACAATTTTATTATTTCTAAAGAATAAATAAGTTTAACTCAATTTCATCGCTTTGGTATTCAATTTTTATGGTATCGAGTTATGCGTAAAAATTTTATAAACAAAAAATGTTTATAAATACTATAGATGCAAGCTATCGAGATAAATAAGCAAGTTTTTAAAAATAATTTATATGTTCCATGAGTGACTCAATATATAAGTGTTATTCGAATCTTTATTTTATAGTCAATCATCCAATTTAATTTATGAAATCTAATCTTTGAAATATATGCATGAGAGCAGATGTGATAACAGTTTTTTTTTTTAATTTTATAAAATATATTTTCAAAAATATATGAATAGAGTTTTATTACTGAAATGCATAGTAAGCTTTTAGAATAAATAGAAAATAGGGTAAAATGAAACTCTGACTGTATACATTGTCTTGTAAAAGCTAAGAATGGTGATTAGGATGCGAAGAACTATAACTACTCCACTTCGATAAGTATTGTATTCAGCACCGTTCAACTGCATTTCAATATAAGTATTTAGCTCAACTGTCGTTATAATTAGAGTTTAATTTATAGTAAAAATTGAGTTCTTGAGTATTTTACGCTATAGGAAA